GTAGTCTTGTCTCTCTGCAGCCTAATGTGAACACAAGATAGTGAACAGATGAGGAACATCTCATAGAGTAGACAGTAGACTCCCTACAGCAATTGTTTGCACCCCTCAGGACAGTTAAACGGTGTCATGATATTTCATGTTCTTATAAATGTTATATTGTTGTTATTGTTCTGTAAATTCACGCTTTACTTTACTTTTTAATGAAATGGCGACCATACAAAGTAGGTATTTTAAGCCAAGTATGAATGGAGATGAGTGTAGGGTGAGTGGCGCGCTCTTGTAGTCTTGTTAGTGACTAAGGCCGACATAATCCCTTCGACACAGCTGTTAATTAAAAGCCCATACAGCTAATGGCAACTAAACATATATTATACCATCATTGCTTGGTAGCGCTATCGTTGTTTGTTCTATGTTATGTCCGTGTCCTTGTTTTATGTTTATGTATATTCATATATTTATTTTGACATGTTGCTAGCTTTGAAAATGTTGTGCTTGCAACAAGACCAGGCAACGCCACAGTTGATGATGAAATTTTGGACTACAGACAAAGGTAAAAATAGCCTAGTTATTTGTCATTTGATTTTTTACCCAGTTGTCTATTGTAATGCTTTTCAACATATATGTGTGTTAAAGAAGTTCAAAAATAATTATACTATCTTCTTTCCATTCTTCTGAAACTGATCAACGAATTCTGATTTGATTGCAACATTATTTATCTTCTGACTGAATGCTGGAGGAAAAAATACTTTTTGACCTTCGATATGATTGTCGGCAATCTAATTGCTCATCGATGGGCGACCAAAATGCATATTGTATGGGGGTAACAGCTAGTTAATACATTACCAGAACAGCTTGAAATGCAGCAAAACAGATGACAAATATATAGGTAAGGACCACTTCAATCAGAGTTGTCTCAAATACAGTTTTGTAGAACTTGACAAATCTGTAAAATTATATTTAACAATTAATTACTTAAAATAAAGTGTGATACTACAATACTACAATCAAATACATTTGATTGAGACTACTTTCCTGTATTTGGCAGTTGTTTTCTATTAATTTAAGGATTTAAAACCCACCAAGAAGTTGTTTATTTGAATTTAAAACCCTTTTGAAATATAATGTTTTAAGGTTTTGGGCAATCCATCACATATTCTTCACCTATGCATCATCTTTAAAAATATACCTATAAATCCCGTCCTTTGTATTTTTATCTCTTAAAATTGATTTGTCTTAAAAATGTATCAACAAATATCATATTTTTACTGCTTTCAACATGGCAATCTATACATTTAATAGGCAAGCGTGTTTCTTTAAAACATTTTTTCTCAGCTCATGTGCATCGCCAGGAAAATCTACGCACACTGTTAGAAAGATAATTTGCTGTAGGTGTGCAGAATCCCTTGGTAAATTAAAATAGGCTCAAAAGTAGGTACAACAAATATATTTGAAATTTAAAAAAATTCATGGGCCTTAAGGGTTGCCATGCTGGTGACAAAATAACAACGAAATCTAAACAGAAAATCAAAACAAATGGAAGAAATTCCAATCACATTTTTTATGATTTACAGCGTGGGGGTGAAAATAGAGAAGCCTGTACATTACATATTTTTGGTCGAGTTTTTGACCACTGGACGACCACTAGTAATACATTAAACTGTATGATTATTTAACTTTTCTTACCTTGTAATCTCTACATGAGTTTCTACAATCCACTTTAGCTTTCTCTCCGCTACTGTCTGTTTCAGAAAAAATATTGAGTCTTGATTTCTGCTGTCGACAACACAATCTGGAGTTTCTTTAAAATCACAAATGTCGGAGAAGGCAAGTCCCAACACGTCAAAGGACGCACCTATAAAATGTGCTCCCCCTAGACACACTCCGAGCCCTGGTAGATGCACAAGATGGTTGTAAACTAGGGCAGATACTTGCATCAATACAGTCAGGTAGTAATAAAGATCTGTTTCCACGGAATATGGTATCCAAGAAGGATAAAGGAGCTTCCTTTGAGAAGAAAATATTCCAGCATTGTAAATATAAGGGATGTAAATAGCAGCGACAAAATAATTAGCAAATCTTGTAACTATAAAAGAAATGCGATCGGCGTTGTCCCAAACATAGTTGTACTGCTGAAGGTTGAGTTGGTTTGATAGAGGCGAGAAGCGATCTTGCATGGTTTCAATCAGATTTGAAAGAATGAATCTATTCTTCAGATAGATCGAGTAGACGTACAGACAGTGGCTAAATAATACTCCATACAAGAGAGCATCAGTGTTAATAGACAAGTCGTCGTATTTGAGAAAAAACAAAGTCCAACCTGTGACCGAACAGAAAATAAGGACAACAACCCCATACATAACTATAGCGATGTCCTTCCACCAAGAGTTGGGCTTGGTGGCTGCCATACTCATGTACAACTCAATGTACTTTAAAAATTCATCTTTGATTTTATCTGAACCCTCCGTTGATGTCATTGCTTTCATTTTGGAGTTATTGTACGTCTGAAAAATACCAGTTGTTATAGTTTTACGGTAGTTTTTAATTTTAAAAAACATTGATGACAAGAAATGTAAAAGGTTTCATCACCATACCAATTGGTGATAAAAACAGCTGGTTTTGGTTTTAGCATTGACTATTGGGGGATATACAAGTATAAGCTTTCTGAACTTTTTATCAGAAATGTAAAAATCATGTTTGGTGTTTACTCAAGTTTTATGTTTGGAATTAAAAATCTGAAGCCAATTTTCATATTACCACACCTAGAAATGTACATATGTGGGGGTAAGACTTAACACAAAAAAAGTCTACAAAGTTTGCATGTACCATATTAAACCTAATATTGTAAATAAAAAAGTACCAAAGAATTTTTAGTGAATTAGTCTGATAGTCCATCACCTGAAATCTAATGGACAAATTGAACTGAATTTTTGCAAGATTGGAGCTGATATACTACAGGTGGACATAGACCTATTTTTGTTTTGAAACTCTACTAGGTCTTCACCTAGGGGTCTCAACCCCAGCATCCTAAATCTCGGGATCCCAGCCAGTTTTTTGTACATGGAAATTCCGAAAGTAGAGTCTTAATGAGATTACAGAACCTGACTTTTCACAAATATGAGGAGTTTTACTTTACATACTAAACGCAAAGAGCGCATTTGATATGAAAAACCTGTGTCAATCAGTGATTGAAGTATTGAAGTATTTTCCTAACACTAACGTAAGCCTAAATAATACTTGCAACAAGTACAATTAATTGTTTAAAATAATGTACACAAATTGTATAGAGAGAGAAAGTGGGAAGAGGTTTATTGTTATCACTCTTCTTTTCCCATTTTAGACTAGTGTGTTAATAGAGCTTAACATTATTATTTCATCAAGAACCTGGCAATCAAAAGGTAAACAACCTAACTAATTATTATTTGTTCTTGAATCTGGGAATACCACATAAATGTTTTATCCCCTTCCCAATGCAAAGCATGGGTACAGTGGCTAGTCGATACAATATAGATAGTTGGATTGATAGATAGATAATCAAATAAAAATTTTAACATGAAACATTTTAGGGTTGTCTGTCATATTGTATTATAAGTCCCCCAAATACAAAATAAATTTATCAATCATATTCAAGCTGTCGAATTTCAGGTGAAACAATCAAAGTAATTATTGTCTTTTCACTTCCCATAGATTTTAACGATAATTGTCTAAAATAACCTAGTTACATGTCAGTGACTAATTTGAGTTGACTCAAATGGTTATTGTTACCTACAATTGTGCAATTAAGAACAAAAGTTATTCTATTAGCCCAATTTATTGCTAGTTTAGGTAAGTCTAGGTACCTGATAAAAAAAACTTTCTGATTTGGATGCACAAAAGCAAACTTGTATCTTAAAAGATGTTCAGTGTAAAATGACTTGAAGAACGTTGATTATATTACTTTAAAATTCAGGGCAGTAGTTAGGAAAGAGTAAATGGTAGTTTGAAGTAGTAAAGTAAAGAAAATCGTCTGAAAAAACAACCACAATCATGATGGAATAGAATAACATTGCTATTAGAGCCCATAAAGATGAATCCGAGAGCGATTGATTTTAGTCATTGATGAAACGGATTTATGTACTCTGATATTGCACTTTTTTGGCATTATATGTACTACAGTGTAATTCATTTATATTATTTTCTAAAATAAAATATATCCATGTATAAATCCCAAAGTAACTTTTGAGAAAACTAAAAGTCACACCCCCATAAACCATATACTGTACTTAAAATGTCCGTCATGACAAGAAACCTTGCGCAAAACTATTCATTATTTCCTAAATTGCCCTTTAAGGTCGTAATTCCTTATTTACAAAGTTGAATTTAAATTCAATATACATTCATGCAGAGGTGCCTCCCCCCAAAAGGTCAGGGGCACAAGCCCCCCCCCCCATTTCATATTACCCCCTCTCACCCTCGGAACTTAGCCACCTGCTCCCTTACAACAATAGGTGTAAATGAATTTAAGTAGGAAATTAACAAAGTTAATTAAATGTTTTGGAACAAATTTTATTCAGATGTTTTTGCTATTAAGGGGTTTACCATTGAAGCAACAAAAAATTATAAAATTTCCTCATTAAAAAAATCCCTCTTTGATTTAACAAACAAGGACTACCCCATACCAGTATGAGTATGGTAAAATTTGTTTACTTACTTTGTTAATTTTTAATTCTTGTACTAAACAATAAGTCTCAATAACTTTTTCTTAACTAAAATAAGTTTCCCTTTGTTGTAAGGTTTGTTACTGAAGCTAAACTAAGTTTCTCTTACTTTTGTTAAATATATTAGTTAGTGAAATGGGTAGAAAAAAAGAGAACAAACAACTATTATTGAAAACTTGAGTTTATTTACAAACAATAAAAATTACTCATTCAGGAAACAGACTTATAGCTATCTGAAGCAAAGACAACATCTTTTACTATAAATAGCTCACACACAAACATTACTAACCTGCAAAAAACAAAACATTACAGAACAAATTTACAATAACATATGAAACAAACATGATCTGTTTCCTGCAGTACACAGTAAATTAATTTCTATCAGTCTTACAAAATATTGAGGTTAGACCTCTAGTCTTACTTCTTCTCCTCTTCCTGCTGTGGTTGAGGTTCGGCTGCTTTGATGGCTGGAGCATTGGTATGTGTGATCGGAATATTCCTGCCGTTCTTCTCATGGAGTTTTTTAGGAGCGTGCAGCTGCAGAATCCCGTCAGAAGACAACGTAGTCTGCAGTGCACTGGCGTCGACATCCTCCGGCAGGTGGACACGACGAGTGAACTGTCGAGAGATGAATCCGTGGTGGTCTCGACGCTCCTCGTGCTGTCCCTCGACAATCGCAAAGTTGTCGACGACCTTCACTGACAAATCTTCAGGCTTGTAATGGCGCACGTGCAAACTGACCTGGACAGTAAATATTATGTTAGGATACACCAATCAATGTAGACGGTCTAAATGGTAGATAGTGAGTTAGCGCTACGGACTTAGGGCCCAAAAGACAGCAATGTCATGGGTTCGGATCCTGGTATCTGCCACTAACTTTTATCAGTACAATTCATACTCTTCTTCTGTTCCGGCTCACCCCTTGTTTTGCTGGATACGTTCCATGCACAGGCCTCAGAGGCTTATGTGGACGGGCAAATGAAAAATAAAAGAGGCTCCCAACCTCTTGCAAAAATGCTTTTTAAAATTTTAAGTTGGATGAGAAAATGCTCATATTTATTGAAAATCTTGAACTAACATGCCCGCTTCTATTTGAAAGAGTTCACAAACCGGGCCGATCCAACTCTAAGAAAAATGATTTTGTGTTGAAAAAGAATAATAAAGCCTTTTTAGTCAACATTTTTTAAACATTGAAATCTATTAGCCATCATCCAACTTGGCTTTAAAAAACAAAAAAATTAAAAAAAATATTTGTTACTGAGGTGTTCAACATAGAGTGCTTGTGTATTTCACTTTTTTGTAGACCACAAAATAAATATAAGAGGATAAACTTCTACCAAACCTTTTCACAACTCAAATTGTAATTCAATAAATCACTCTTCTTTGGTAAAATTGATTTTTTTAAATATAAGAATCTCTAAAACTATTTACATCCTAGTTAGGCCTACCTTGAAATTTTTCTCATCATTGACAATGGATGCGTCGTGCTCCAGTTTCAAGGGTTCTTCCAACATGGAGGGTGTAAGAGGCATCCCGAAGTAGTGGTCGTAGTGTCTCGGGTGTTCAAGTTGGCGGATAAAGTCTCGCATCAGAAACGGAACCAGCGACATCTGCAAAAGTTGACGTTGATTGAACATGCTCCCTTTTGTAGATTAGAGCTGATGATTGTAGATACATTTCCGGGCGCTTTGTTGATAAATACTTGTTTCATGTTACAGTTATGATAAAATAAATCTATTTATAAACCATTGCATGCCCTCTCTGGTGTTAAACTATTAAACTAACGTATTAAACTAAAGAGTAAGGCAAAAAGTGTAAATTCAACCTAAAATTAGAGAGGAATTTACTCATAGTAAACTCAAACAGTTTACTATGCTCAAATAGTTAGCATGAAACACACATTAAAATTGGTTTCAGCTTTTGCGGATAGGGTGAAACATCTACTTGCTCATTCAAAGTCAATGGTGTTGTTTGTTTGTGAGACAAAAAATGCATTGGTGAAGTTTTCTAGAAAAGTAGAGTAAAATAGATCCCAAGCAAAAATGACATTTCATTTCAGTTCGTTTCAGCGGGATAACTTTAGTAATTTTTGTCCGATTTTGATTAAATTTGGCTTGAAGATGTAGGGCGGGATAAACTTGGATGAGTTTGCAAACCACCATGATCGATAGGAACATCAAAGATGAAGATAAAGATTGTTTTAAAAAGCATATTGGATAAATATTAAATTTTATAAAGGCTTAAGTTACTTCCGAATCTAATTGCATATGCTTTGTAGTGTTTGAAAATGAACTAGGTGAACCCGTGCGAATTTGCACGAATAAATTAGGATATATTGTAGCAACGTAGAAGTTGCGTCGTATGACGTTGGTCTTGAGCTCGATCGTTGGCTATATACATTCTAAGTTATTTTTGCTGTTCAGTAGGAGTATTTTGCAGGACGGAGCTTATCATGCTGAAAACTTGCGCAAATGGATTAATATCAACCAAATGTTTAGTCAAAATGTGCATGAGTTCAGTGCTGTAAGAGCCATTAGCTTTGTTTAGCATTATTTCTTGAACAGCGGATTCGTCGTCGTAGATATAAATTTGGGCATATGTGGGATGCTCCCCTTCTGACAGTTGAAAGGTGCCAATAGAGTGATGAACTGTGTCGTGCACCTTATACATGAAAGGCCCTCCACCGTTATGTTCTTCAATTTTAGCTCGAGTGCTGACCATTGCGAGCGCAGAGTTGTACGATCTAAGGTTCTCTTTGTAGTTTCTGCTCAAATGATTTGCTCCATTTAGTAGGCTCTGGATATAATAGCTTTCTCGGTATGGTGTTAGATTCACTTTTTCTTTACGGCAGCAGGATGAAAATCCTTCACCTCGTCCTCTTTGTTCTTCTTTAAAATGTAGCGCACCACATTTCTGACATTTTAATGCCACCTCGCCAAGTGAATGCTGCTGAGTTCTTGTATTTGTCAGTGTAATTTTGTAAGTACACGTTGCCACTAACTGTTACAGCTCCTCGTCTGGGCTCCTTACGTTTTGCATTGCTTGCCGTATGTTGACTCGCCGTGTCCGACCTGCAATATTTCTTTGTCGTCGGGTCCTTTTCATGTTTAAACAAAAATAAAATGTAAAACTTTTCTCCCGTCGTGTCCCATAGGTAACATTTCTTTGCCGGGTTTCTAATTATTTTTTAAAAACATGCAAACTGTTTACATTTCAAAACCAAACATAACAGCTGTGATTTCTTTTACTAATGTATTGCCATCTGTTTCAGAATATAATAACATTCAAATCAATCACAATGTTATCCTTATGGAAGGAACTTTGAGGGCAGCCCACGCCCTTCAAAAGATATATTTAGAAAATCTAAAGCCAGTTTGCACATCTACACACCTAGACGAACATTTTGGTATATAATATGTGGGGTTAAATCTTAAAACAAAAAAGCCTTATTGTTCACAAAGTTTCATGTCGCGTATTAAATATATAGATTAATTCGTTACCTGGTATGAGCGTGTGTATGGTAATTGAGGCAAACCCTGAGAAGATATTCTGCTGAGGGGTTTCAAATTCTTGAAAATTGAGCTGGTAGAACGCATGATGGGCATGAGGGACATTGTGTTTTCTGTATACCTAAAAAAGGTGATGATACACTGGTTTAATATTTTTGTAATAGTACATCTTACACTTTTAGCAAATTTCCCATATAGGGAATAAGCTATTACCGTATTACTCATGGTAAGACCTGGACCCAGGACATATTTGCTTTTTTGTTTTGAGGTCCCTAGAGGCCAAAAACACAATCCATTCAAATTCATATATATATATGTGTCCGTTATAACGATAACTCAGGCAAAAAAGATCGGATTTTGATGAAATTTGGTATAAATGTGTAAACCTACATTTATTCAAACGAGTTTGCGAACCAGCATGATCGGACTATGGGAACGGAAGTTTATATGGAGGGTTTTATGGGGTAAAAATAGGTTTTTCCCATTTTTGACCCTAAAAAGACAAAATTTCCCAATTTATTTCCAAACCATTTTGTAGAGCTTAAAAAAACAAATAATTTAGTATATTGAAGCGTTATTGTGCGCCTAATGGTTAGGTACGGAGAAAATTCCAAAAATTTTAAATTTAAAATTCCCGTTATTCTTAGGAGAATAAATCAACTGTTAGTTAGCTTGTTTAAGAACATATTTTTATCAAATTTGGAAAATACATAAATTTCTTACTTAACTACTAACATTTTACAACAAAAAACACTTTTTACCCTCCCTGTTGCAGCAAACCTAAGTACTCGTTAAACTACTAATTTAACTAAGTAAAGTTACTTAACTAATTTAAATTACTAAGCGGGGTTGTTGCTAGCCTAGTGGTTATTGTCTCGGACTTGGGTGCGGGAGGGACGGGTTCAATCCCCGGCACATCTACAAAACCTTAATGGGTTTGGACCGCTTTCCCTTAAAAGTGTTTGACTTCATTACAAAAATTCCACTAGCGTAGATACGAGCAAAAAAAAAAACCAAAAAAAACTAATTCAATTTTAATGGGGAATAATGTGATATATTTAAGGAGGCATTTTCACTAAATCCAATCAGGCAAATGGAAATTCGCTTCGTCTGCAGGTTTGCTGTGGCGGGGGTATTTCTTGTAATAGGGTGGATAAATTTTAAAACATGTTTTATGAGCATAACTATTTCTTAAATTCTTTGCATCTGAAAGAACCTGTTGCCACTGACACTATAAATCATACTTTTTTTATTCTTAATGAAATATAGAAAAATTAACCATTATTCAAACTAGTTTATGTATTGTAAAACTGGTATTTTATTTGAACAAATTTACAACAATCTGTAAAATTGCTGGATCTACCAGTTACACCTTACATGCCCAGGAGTTGAGAAAATTTTTTTTCAATGAACATGCTTGTCTATTAATATACGGGGTGTCCCGGAACTCTCTCTACCAACTACCAATATTTTAGGGCATTGATCCTGGGTAATAAACATATCTAAATATCATATTTAAATTGTCCGGAAGCCCTTAGTTACTCTCACAGCCGCCATTTTGTTTTTTTCAGTTTTTTTTCTTCTAAAGAATGGTTAAACATACGAAATTGAAACTTTGCTCAAACGTTTATGACAACTAGACAAAGGTACCAAAAAAAAAAAATTATCACGATTTTTCAAATTCATAAAACGGAATGGCTTTGTAAAATCAACGGTTTTTGTGTTATTTAGGAAACAAAATTTTAAATGGCCACCATTTTGTTTTATGAATTTGAAAAATCATCATTATTTTTTGGTAGCTTTGTCTAGTTGTCATAAAGGTTTGTGCAAAGTTTACAGTTCGTATGTAAACCGTTCTTTAGAAAAAAAATAATAACTGAAAAAACAAAATGGCGGCTGAGTGAGTCACTAAGGACTTCCGGACAATTTAAAAATTTGGCCCCATGTTAAATCTCCATAAGAAAGGTTGAATTTTCATTTTTGACCCAATTAACATAAATACTATTTTAAATACAAATAAAACCTGCATATATATATATAGGACTGATAACCTTTCATTTGGTACAACCCCGTCATTCGGTCCAGTAGTATGGTCAGGCTAGCTGTCATAAGTTTTGCACAAGTTTTTAGAGAATTTCCCTATAGGGAAGTATTTAGCGAATTTCCCTATAGGGAAGTAGCTATTACCGTAGGTGGCACGGTAAGACCTAGACCCGGGACCGATTTACTTTTTCATTTTGATGTCCCCAGAGGCCAAAAACACTATTCGTTCAAATTTTTATATATGTATATATATATATATATATATATATATATATACGTCCGTGAACGCGATAACTTGAGTAATTTTTGTCCGATTTTGATGAAATTTGGTTTAAAGGTGTAAAGCGGGATAAACTTGAATGAGTTCGCGAACCAGCACGATCGGACCATGGGATTGGGGCTTTACGGGGGGTTTTATGGGGTAAAAATTGGTTTTTCTCACTTTTGACCCTCAAAACCCAAAATTTCCCAATTTCTCTTTAGACCTTTTTAAAGAGCTTAAAAAAACAAATAATTAAGTATATAAAAGTATTTTTGTTCGATTATTAGTAACGGAGAAAATTAAAAAAATTGTAAATTTAAAATTCCCATGTTATTCTTATGGAGAATATTGTCAAATGTTGTAGTTTGCTTGTTTATGAATATATTTTGATCAAACTTGGCAAATTTATTTATTTTGTACTAAGCTATCAATATTTTACTCAAAAACACACTTTTTTAGTTTCCTTGTAGCAGCAAACCTAGGTACTCGTTAAACCTAATGTTATTAAAATATATTTAACTGAAAATCAATTCAGACAAATGGAAATTCGCTTAGTCGGCAGGTTTGCTGCGGCGGGGGTATTTAATATATAAGACTGAACACTAGTGTATAAACCAACCAACCATACCATAAAACATTTTTTTTTTTTTATTGTTAAACATGTGCTTGCATCACTAACACTCAAAGATTGAAACTATTTAATTATTTTATCTTATTTTACCAATTTACCGTTGCTATCAAATGTGTAAGTTACAATTTACAAACATGTTTCATGTTTCTAATAAAATACACTTACCTTTAGAATATCAGGAACAACAATGACAGTCAGTAGCTAACTGAACGAAAACCGCCAACTCTTGTAAAATCTCAACTCACAACAATGGACTGACTAGCTCTCACTACAGAACGCTATTGAGTATTGTGTCAAACTTCGAACGTTCCTCGTTCTGTGTGTTTCTGTTGCCCGGTACGATAATTATCGTATTTGTACGATATTTTTGCTCCTTCGTCATAAAAAATAATGTTGTAAAATCGTTCGATATTTTTGACTATGTGTAAGATTTTTGTCATAAAATACGATTATTTTCAGGTACAAAAAAATGTTATTTATTGATTCATATACATTACACGTTTGCCTGTATGCAATCTAAAGAAAACGGCAACATCGTTTCGCTGTTGTTTGATGGCAACCTTGCAAAAGCATCAGCTGTGTAGAGGGTAGAGCGTAGAGCCCTGCAGCCCACGGTGTCTTCCATTTTGCGGTCAGTCCATTTTCCGGCCAAGTGTAGGAGTGTAGGTATGCGTGGGGGGGGCGAGGTGGTTGGAGGGGTGGAAGGGTTTCCATTTTGCGGTCAGGTTTCGATTCCTGGAGTACGTGACTATAGCCTATATACAGAATGAAAATTGATTTGGTTTCATGTACATAGAGCAGCAACAATTCTTGATTTTTTACAGGATGACAGGTTAAGATCTCCATGAGAAGTTGTTGACGGAGCCACTTTTATATTAAGAGACAGATTTTTCTTAACTCGCAAATCAATCATGTCTGATGATATTATAAATGGCTGTATTATCCAACAAACTAGTCAAGAAGGCTACACATTGAATTGAGAGACGTTTTTACTAGGGGTAGAGTATATACTCTGTTTGCTCTTTCTTAATACATTGGAAATAGGGTAACAGGGGATTGTGGAATTGCCATTTTGTAATAAATCCATGAGCCAATGTTCGGGTTCATTCCTCTAGTTGGTACCAACATAACAAAATACATGTCAATCCAGAGTGGCAGGCGACACTGCTTCCGCTGCAGAGTCAAAGTGAGTCAAATTTTGGCAATTTCATCCTCTGAATTGCACTTTTATATCATAATCTTAAATATTTTATGTGTACGATAATTTTGCCCAAATACGATAATTTTGGACTGCCTGTACGATAATTTACTCTGGCCAATCTGCTTCCCTCTCACTCCCACACAGGCCAATCTGTCATATATCTCTCTTTTCTCGTGCCATCCAGACAGTAGGCTAGATCATCGATGTAATAATAACTGTAGAGTTATTATACATCGATGTGCTAGATTTCACCATCCAGTGCCAACTGAATCATGAATCATCTTCGGTTAGTTTTCCATTGTTGATTTAAAGTGTTTCAGTTTGTAATGGGTTTATGTAGGAAACTTACAGAGATTAGAATTGAATATGAAAGTTGTTTATTTGTAGCAAGTTGTTTACATCTTTGATAGTGAGAAAAATATGTTGACGCTGTGACAAAATACATTTTGGTTGGACGGCGGAAGCAAATATTTTAAAATGGCATTTTTGTAAACAAAACGATAGGCCTAGCTATTCAAGACGGGGTAGCTACATGCGAACTGAACAACATCAAAGTGATTTTCGTGGAAACACTGACAAAAGGAACCTCCCTTGCCCCGGATTGGGGCTACAAAGATTCCAAGAACAGATGAGGGAGGGGAGTCCTTTCGCAGAAGGGCGATGTTTTGACTGTTTTTGTACCGGTGCTAAAAGCCGACAAGTAGCCCTAGTCGAATGCGTAGTGTATCCCGAGCCCGAGCGCCGAGTCCCCCCTGCGCCGATGGCAAATGAGCATCCCCAGCGCCGAGGCCATAAATTACCAAAGGTTCTTCTCAGTAGTGCAGAAGTGAGAAGTTTGATCTGTGAAGCAAGTAAAGGTTAGGTTAGGTTAGGTAAGGTCATTCCAGATTAAGTGCGAGCATATCAAAAGTACGAGAGTCGGTAATGAGTTACAAAATATTCATTAAATGTTAAATTAAAATTCGAGA